GGGTACCTGTTCGCAGGAGCCGGCTGTGCGCGGCCGGTGTGGGGGGCAGGAGGGGCTCCCCGGGCTGCTGGGCACTGGGCCGGGGGAGGGTGTTCGGGGGCGGCGGCGGGAAGGGGGTGCCCGACAGTCCCCTCTGTGCCGTGCAGCCGCCTGCCAGGTGTGCGCACATTGCACGTGTGAGGGTGCGCGTGGGTGAGTGTGTCCGGGGCGCGCGCCCCGCGACCGCCCCAGACGTCCCGGGGATTCCCCCTTGCACACGGGTCCACGCCGGGGCTCCCGAGAGAAGTTGAGCGCTGCCGCCCCACTTCAGCCACGTCCCCGTGGACAAGCCTGGGCGACAGCGGTTCCAGCGTTTGCGGTGGGAGAAGGGCCTGCCCTCCCCCGGCACTGGGCTCTGGCTCCCCGGTGGGCATCGACCTTGGTTTTGATCTGGATCTGAAGGGTCTGGGGATCTTCAGAGGCTTAGCTACCGGGTAGAAGGAACGAGTTTTGTTCCGAGGGTTTATGTGATTATTGAATGGACTAGGAAGAGGCATCATCTGCAGACACCGCCGGTGTGTCTGGAGAGAGCTGCTGGATTCCACCAGATTTGTGTGGGTTCTTCCCCCTCCCGCCCCCGCCCCCAAAAGGGCCTATGGAAAGCCAATCTGTGTGCTTCTATTTTTAGAAACTAGATGATGGGCATTTAAACAACTCCTTGAGCTCTCCAGTTCAAGCCGACGTGTACTTCCCACGACTGGTAAATGATCTTGTTCTGTGCCCTATGTCTCTGCCTGTACCTCTGCTTTTCTAATTGCATTTTCCTTGCATTTTCTAATGGTCCAGGCCCTCAGGATCAGAGGGCATGGCTCTTCCCTGACAGACTGTAAACGTCTTATTTCTCCTTTTATCCTTTGCAGATAGTTCCATTTTGTGGGCATATTAAAGGTGGCATGAGACCAGGCAAGAAGGTGTTAGTGATGGGCATTGTAGACCTCAACCCAGAGAGGTAAGGCAGTCCTTGTCACCGCAGAACTATGAGGCAGTGGCAGGGCCCTGCCCACTTATGTTGTGGTTTAGCGCTCCTCCTCTTCCTCTCCTTGTGGACAGTGTTGCTAGATGGGAGTGCCAAGAAAGTACCACGTTCCCATGAAAAGAATGTGTATGAATCCCAGCCATCATTTCTCCAGACAGCTATTTATATCAGAGATTATAAATATAGGCCTACATTTTCTCTTTGACCCTTAGGGAAACCAAAGGATTTTTTTTTTTTTTTTAATGGTTTTGAAACATGGTGCTCGGAGCAAGAGCTATCAGTGTAAATTAGAACCTAACTTTACAAGATATTATTTCTCCTGGTCAGTTTCTGGTGCTGTTTCTGAGAATTCTGAAGTGGATTAAGATACAGATGTGTGGGTGGTCTGGGGTATTTGAAATCTCTAACTTTAGTCATTTTCAACTCCACCAAAGTTTTCACCAGAATCTGTTTTAGGTAACAAAATAAACTGGTTTGAGTTACTTTTTCATAGCCTAATCTCTCGTGGAAAGAGTGGTGGCCCGTTAAGTGCAGACAGACCCAAAGGAGGAGGAAATACAGGGACCTGGGTCATTTGGAAATGTTGTATCCAACCCTCAATAAATGAGACTGTTTTATTTTCAGCTTTGCAATCAGCTTGACCTGTGGTGACTCGGAAGATCCTCCTGCCGATGTGGCAATCGAACTCAAAGCCGTGTTCCCAGACCGGCAGCTACTTAGAAATTCTTGTATATCTGGGGAAAGGGGTGAAGAACAGTCAGCAATCCCTTACTTTCCATTCATCCCAGACCAGCCATTCAGGGTGAGTACCTCGAGTGCGTCAGCCCCAGCCACTGGCACGGTGATGGTGTTGTACTTATCCAGTGCATGCCAAGAACACTTTATGCAGCCAGAATTTCTGCATGTCCAGGAAATTTGTCACTTGACGGTGAAAAAAGAAAAAAGATTGAAAGAGCTGTATTTGCTGATCGAATTAATATTTGCAGTAGTAGCTCCTGGCTCTATTTAGCCCATACATTTAGTAAATGGACCCATATTTACATGTCCAGGTTAAGAATAAATACTTATCTGTGTAGTACCCAACATAGTACTAAGCATATAGTAGATACTTGCCCCCAAATATCTGATTAGTTAATAAATACTAATAAGTATCCATCATTTTCCTCATTTTTCTCAGCCTTTCAGTATCTCTAAACCTTATTAGCTATGACTTTTTAAAGAATATAATGATTATCATTTCATTTTCTCTTGTTCCCTTTGCTAATGAGGCCATGTCCATGTCCTTGTTTCCCCTCTGGGTTAATTAGCCTCAGTCTGTTTCGTGGTCACAAGCTGTATGGCTGACAAATTCCTTCCCTTGGGCCTGGATGAATATAGATTTGCTCCCCACTATCTAGCAGGGAGGAAGCACAACCCAAACTTCCCTCCCAATCAAGCAGCATTAGCAGCATCTTACCCTATGAAGTAAAATGCCAAATAAGAGATGCAAGTTGGTAATGTGTTAAAAAAGGATGTACTGAAATGTCAGACCTGGGATGAAGTTGTCTTCATTACATCTTGTTAACATTACATCACAATAATGACAACTCAGTTAAAAGCTCCTTGTTGCACATAAGCCTAATAAAACAGAACTACCCTTAACCTGTTGCTTTTAATCTAGAAATTTTCAAGGGCCTTATGAAAAAGTAATTATTTCTCTTCCCTTCAGTCTGGGGGGAAAATAAGAATCCATGGCTTTTATATCAGTGATAGAATTGAGAGCATTGCCCTTTGAATCATAGTCTGCGGAAGGCACCACCCTCTCCACCCCCTTCTCTAGGATGGTAATGTCTCCTTAGGCTCCTCTTGGCTGGGACAGTTTCTCAAAGATGAATCTTAATATAGTTCATGCGTATGAGTAACCAGAGCTTCTGACTGCCAGGAGGAATATAATACTCCCCAACAACAAAAATGAATGAAAAAGGCCCTTCTTGGTAATATAATTTTAGTAATAATATGAATTAAATGTGACTAATATCAACATATGGAGTCTCTCCTTACATGTTGAATACCAATACTCTTAATAAGTACATCATAGCACAGAACCGAAAATTAAACTATATGGTGAATTACTTAAGGAAAGGGAGAGGAAAAAGCTTTTACCATATGGAATCAGTATTTCTGTTTGGCTTAACAAAGCCTTGTTAATTATACATTCTTGGTCCAATGGTAATTACTGTGTAACCTTCTCTCTGCCTTAGTGTTTACCATGTTTGAGTGTCTAAACTATTATTACATGCTACTAATGGGGACCAGTTCTGTCTTGGGAGGGGTTCCTCTGAAGGTGGGATACAGTTGTTCAGGGGATGACAGTGGAGGCATTAAGTTCCTTATAAACAAATGTATGCTACTTTACCTCACTTTCTGGAGTACAGGGAGAAGGGAGAAATGTTAAAGCATAAGCAATTTTAAATCTTTAAAGGATACTGAGTAGCGTAGAGCAGTGGTTCTCAAAGTATGTTCCCCATTCCAGCAACATCAGCATTACCTTGGAACTTGGTGGACGTGCAGATTCTTAGACCGTACCCTAAACTCAGAGTCAGAAATTTTGGGAGTGGAGCCCCAGCAATCTGTGTTTTAACAGGCCCTCTGTGTGGTTCCAAGGCATTCTAATGTCTGAGAGCCACTGAAGTTGTTGCCTTCCTTTCTCTAAAATGAAGTATTGTTTGTTTTCCCCAGCAAGGTTTATTGAAATTGTGAATTGGAATATTATTTGTTGCTTCTAGGTGGAAATTCTTTGTGAGCACCCACGTTTCAGAGTGTTTGTGGATGGACACCAACTTTTTGATTTTTACCACCGCATTCAAACGTTATCTGCAATTGACACCATAAAGATAAATGGGGACCTCCAGATCACCAAGCTTGGCTGATGTTGTTTAAACCACCTCTGTTCCCAGTAGGATTAGGTGCCACAACTGTCTGACTGTTGGTCTGGAGGAAGTGTCCTAGCAAGATCTGGAGACTCAAAAAGAAAACAAAAACAAAGGCAAGCTTCACTGTCTCTTTCTGTGCAGTTTAAACCCAAAATGACAACTTCAACAGTGGTTTGCCCTTAGGAAGAAAGCTGTTGGGACAAAGACACCGAGCCATTATTCCCAGAACAAAGTAATACATTTATGCTGGATTTTATTCAGACCAAACTAAAATGGATTTGTGATTTGGTAGCAAATTATTCATCTTTCAAAACAAGGTGATGTTTAGAAACAAAAGTGCTAAAGACATTAAAAAACAACAACGGTACACCGAAATCAACGCATTCTGCACTGAAGTGGAATTGTGTAGCACAACCAACATTTTAGTCAGGGTATTTACATGGAATGTAGGTTGTTCAAGGTTTCTTCTTCTTTTTTTTTTTTTTTGTACAGCACAATGTTAATTCGGATTTTTGAAGCTTTCTCATATTCTCATATTTATTTATACTCAACGTATGTATTAGAAAATGAGCAATGTTTCAAGAACAGCAAGTTATAAGCTTTTGAATGTACAAATATCTTAGGTCCGAGGGGAAAATTACATATTACAATCATGAAACAGCTGAATTTCTACCTTAAAGGATTGAGTCATATTCTCTATACCCCCAAACTTAGGATCTATTGATACAAATTACTATAAGTGTTTTTGGGAAAACTTTGCAACATTTCGATAAAACTGCTTTTCAAGTTATTGTCTGTTACTTAAAATTCTATTTACATTGCTTTTTCTCCTTACTGTGAATTAGCACAGTATTGGCTTCTTTAAGATTAATTAACTACTTCTCCCTAGATTTACATAATAGCTCATTAAGTTGTTATTAAATTAATTGAAAACACATAAGAGGTGGTTGCATAGACAATTTTTTAAATGCCTATTATATAAACTTTTAAAAATATAATATGAAAATGATTCTGGAATGCAGTGTAAAGCAAAAGCAAATGGCCCTGAATAACTTACTTGGAAATAATTTATATCAACTTAAGCTGTTGGCTCATGGCATAACTTTTCTTATGTGACCCTCACCAATATCTGTAAGCAATGCCTTTGGAGTTTTATTGTAGAAGATGCGTCCTACTATGATAGCTCCAAGGAGATAGTAGAATAAGATGGGATCCAGATTAGGAAATGATCCAATTAGTTTATCTGAAAGGTTGACTCCCAGGACTCCAGGTCTTTGAGTCCAGTCAATAGTTTGAATGCTTCCAGTTAAAACGTAGGAGTTTCCCTGCACTTATGGAACCGATCAAATGTAGAGTGTCTCCAGCAGGAGGCTACAGGACTGTAACTGCCACAAGACAAGGGATGTTGGAGTCCTGGGCACTGAACTTCACAAGCTGCATTGGCCCCAAAGAGAAGGACCCTTGGCATTGCTTTGGTCAGGTTGTGGGGGAAGAAAGGGTGCTGGGGTGGGGGTATAATTTATATATAATTTAGGTTTTGTTTGTACAGCATACTGCATCTTGTTATGACACGTCCTTGTCCTGCTTTGCTTTTGAGTTTTTTTTTACACAACATGCAGAGGCACAGAAGTGGCCTCATCATTTTCATATGTCACGAATGTAGACAGTGTTTCAGTACCAAAGTCAAACTAAAATTGTGAATTTTTTATAGGTGATATATTTGGATTCTTCTCAGCTTTGAAACTGTCTAGCATAGTTCCATTGTGGTATATGAGAAGATAGTTTATCCAACAAGACTGGCTGTACATTGAAAAGCTTTCTGTACCAGCTGACTTATTCAGCCTTATTCAGCCATGAGGGCTCTTGTGTGGCTCTAGGTATTTTCAAGCCCTGTGATTAACTTCTCCTGGCTTGTAAAGCCACTGAATTTTGAGGAGTGGTTGTAGAGAGACATAGAGGGTATCCTGAAATGTATTCATAGAGGTTTTGGTTCAACCCATCGTGGAAGATCCCCACGGGAAGACTCTTGAGTGGCCCACCATTCCCACCCACTGCATAATTCAGCAGAAACTAGAGGAGCCCTAGTATAACTGATTGGAATTGACACTCTGTTCTCTCTACCTATCAGCTAACTCATTAGCAGCCAAGCCTTTAGGTAGCTTAGCATGAAAAGACAGTGTTAACCCTTTCCTCTCTATGAGGTCAGTGGGAACCTCTTGAATAAGCCTACTAGGATTCAGCTAAATGATGTGATCTGGTTCAGGTATTGCTAAATTAGTAGGGGGCTAATCCAGCTTGTACTAATCATTAGCTGTAAACTGGAAACAATGTTCACACTCTCTCCTTGGCCTTTGAGGTCTAAGGTGGGAATTTCAGGATGGAAAGTGCAATTTAAAGCTTCACAGGAAAGTATTTGGGTATGTAACGAGTTATTTCTGACCAGAGCCCTAGTTTTGCAATAACCAAAACCAAGGAGTATAAATAACAATCAGGCTCTGGGGGAATAAAAGGCAGGCTTTAGACAATCTGTTCATTTCTGCAGCAAAATTGGAGTGAATGTGTATATCTACTTAATAGTTAGCAGAAGTGACTTCCACTTTCTGGGCTATCCCAGAATTGTCTTAAAAGTAGTATTTTTTTTACTTTTGAAACCCCATTTCAGATTTTGCCAACCTCAGTTCAAAACCTCCTAAGAGATCACTCTTAGGATTGATGATTTGTTAAAATGGCAAATACTTTCATTTGTATTAAAAAGAAAATATCCAGACAGAGTGAGGGAACCCTGTTGCCTTGAAAGAAACAGCCTTGGCATTTTCCGGCATTAATGTAGAAATAATGTTCCTATGATGACATATTTTCAAAGAAACACTTTCTTATGTACTGCGTGGTGTAAAATGTTGCTAAATGTGTTGTTACATTATGTCACTGCTGAAAGTTATTTGCACTATAATAAAGGAATTTTCTACAAAATGGTTTCTAATTTATAGCAAGCTAAATCTGGCACCAGATATAATGTACTTATTAGCATAGACCAGGTGGTGTAGCCGTGGTCCCTCACCTTCACATTCATACTCCAAGACCACTTTTTCATGTGTTTCCCAGGTTGAAAATGGGAAGGAAAGTATCTCAGGGGCCCTCAGAGATCTAATGAGCTTATGTTGTGGATGTGATGGGTTCTTTTTAAATAAAATTTGCATGCAGCAAATTCACTTTTTTCAGGTGTACAGTTCTACGAGTTTAACACATGCATAGATTCATATAACTATGATCTCAATACAGAATCATTCCATCACCCTAAAAAATTATCTTGTGCTTCCCCTTTGTAGTTAAACTTGTCCCCCACTCCTAACCCTAATCAGGCAACCAATGATCTGTTCTCCCTCCCTGTAGTTTTGGATTTTTCTGAATGTCATAAAAACAATTGTATAATATGTAATCTTTTGAGCTTGGCTTTGTTCAATTTGCATAATCATTTGAGGTGCATTCATGTTGTTTGTATCAATAGTTTTCTTTTTTCTTGCTGAGTAGTCTGCTGTGTGGATGTACCACAGTTCCTTTACCCATTCACCTGTTGAAGGGTGCAGTGGGTACTTAAAACATTAAGTATAGTCTTAGTAAAGTGTACATACAAAAGCAAGATTGTATTTCTCTTGCCTTTTCTTAACTGTGGTTTGAACGATGAAGGAGGAAATTTGATCTCTTGGTTATTCAGCCTACAAATAAAATTGTGTGGCTTATAGAAGTTTGCCCAGCTTCAGTTATCAGTGGGTGACAGAGAGCTGTGTACTCACATCTTGGATCTAGGGTCCTATTTATACCTTAATTTTATTAATCCTTTTTTTCTGTTCTTAAGGATGCAGAGCCGTGAAGCTGCTTTGCTGCTTGCTCTGTCACAGCTTTTACAGGCAGGGAGAGGCCTGTTAAGGTGGGGACAATTTGCTGAGGCTGTTGGGCAGAGATAGGAGGGCTTCCCCCACCCCCCAGGCAAGCTAGGAAGGTTCCTCTGGGGATATGACGTTACACTTGTTTTATAACAGTGTTTTGAATTAAGTGGTGTGGAAGATATCCCCAATGGGAGCCTCTCAATACCACAAATCCTTATGGCTTTCATTTATTCAACGAGTATTTATAGAGCTGTTGCTCTTCTCAGCACTTGGATCCATCAATAAGTCAAAAAGACAAAGGTCTCTGGTGGTTTTAAACTTTAGTGGGCTTAAGAATCACCTGGAAGAGGCAGAAGTCCAGCCTCACCCCTGAGAGATTCTGTTTCAGTAGATCTGGAATTTGTGTTTTTAAGAAACATCCTGGATGGAATTGGTGGTTCTGCATCTCAGATTAAGCAATTCTGCCCTCAGGAACTCCTGAACAGTCACTGAATCAAGTTGTTGGATTGTACTGGCCTTGAGATTCTGATCTGTGGATGAAAACCACATTTCAACACAAGGGCACCCTACTCTGCCAAAGTCCTGCACCTCTCGTTACAACAATACAACCAGGTGTCATTGTCCTTGACTTAACCTTCCCCTCTACCCCCACTCCTGCCTCTACCTCAAAAATAAAACACTGTAGTAAAAAATATTGCCTTTCAACAGACTCTTGTAAAAATCCTCCTCTTTGGGTTGGTTTAGGACCTAGCTAGCATTCAGACACCTGTTTTAAATAGTGAATGTTCCTAGAAAGATCAAGGTTCTAGGGGAGGCCTGTCCTTCTTGGTAAACATTTCAATTAATTAGTCATTGGAGAATCACCAGGGCAGGGCCCAATTATTCTAGGAGGCAAATACACACAGTGGCTTATAACTTGTAAAGTGGCAAAGGGCAAGTGGTAGTGGCCCAAGCGAGCTTTCTTGGCACTTTGGGAATGAATTTAAAGTCTTCCTTTCGCAAGAAAGTGCAACTGAGTGTGTACACAATGCTTCCTGGTCACCTTGAGCCACTTGCTTCCTAACCACCCTGTTAATTTCACAATAATCTTTCCCTAAAAATATCTCCTGTATAAGACTGAGAATTGCCTTGCAAAACATAGAGGTACTTCGTAATTAATTAAAATGGGTGGATGTAAGGTGCTGAAACAATACTCAACAGGGGAGGAAACGGCACTGACACTTCCTCTTGCTTTGATACACCCTTCCATCTCCCAGGGAAGGTGGTGACGAGGGGAGTGACACAGAGGCTGAGGAGGCATCACTGTTTGAAAAGGCAACACAGATGGTCCCTCAAGCATAGGCTCTGGGAAGCAGCAAGCCAGCTAGAACTTGGGGATGATGTGGAGTTTTGGGG